CCTATGAATCGTCGAACTCCTGAAAGCACACTGCGATCGTAAACTTGTCAACGGCCCCACAGACCGCGGACCCCCTATCTGGCAGCCACATCTACATGAGGTCCGAGACCTCCATTAATTGTGATCAAGAACCTGTGTAGTAGTCAAGAGGTTGTTACGACACTGCCCAGCCAGGCTGCTTGCTTTTGTCAGCTACTGTACCCACCTTCGGATCAATTTACTCTTCCTGGTAATTGGCAGCATTGTGATCGCACTTAGCCTGATTAAGTAGGCCAAAAGCCGTCTATTCGTTAGAATGTATTGTTTAACCTGCTTCTACTTCGCGCTCAATGGTAAGAATCAACGTTGCTGCACCTCGCTTGTGTATGTAGAAGTACATCACAACGGTAACCCACCACAACCCATAGATCCATGGTCTATCAGTGTGTGAGCCACGGTTCCGATAATTCCGTACGGCATCGCTATCGTTTTCTTCGGTAGGTGCAGCTCCACCCTAAAAGACGGCCTCGACTGTGCCTACGGCACCCCGCAAACCTGGCCTTGTCGATTTGTATTGGTTCTTCGGGCGGTTCATTCGGGTTTCTTCTCCTAGTGACAGATAACGTTTCGGGGCGGACTTCCTGATAGCAATTAAAACAATCAATCACAGTATTTGGGGATCAGCCAGTAAGCTTGGCTACTTTTTCTAGTGAGACTTAGTTGCTCCTGAGATAAGCTAGCTCTAAAACTCCACAGAGTTTCCAATCGCACTGCAGAATTCCGCTCAAATCGCAATAACTGAAGGTCCTGCATAGGAATCATTAAACTTTGACATCTTTGTGGATCACGTGGAATAATTCCTAAGGCCCATGAGTAAGCGGAGAGTTACGGTGCCATTTTAACAAAAATTTTACCGTCTAAAAATCACACAACCAGAAACTTTATTAAATGGAAGGATACAGTTTCTTCTAGTTGGGAATTTGTGAAAGGCGTAATTTGCTGCGAAATGAAAGATAACATACATTTTTGCTCATGTTTCCTAAAAACATATGAAACTATTTGTAAAGGCCTTGAAAATCAATCAAACAACACACAGCATATTTGATCACTTTTTAACGAACGCGGCTGTTGTCGGCGGCCGATGAGAGACATTATCATAAACTGGCATCCAAGCATGGCTGAAGGATCCTGCGATAATGCCCTATGACGTCCAATATCACACTCCCAATCGGATGATCTTTTCTAGCCGAAAACACCTTTCACTATTTCAGCTAGTGTTTCTTCAGCCACGCCGCAATCTGTAAAGTTATTAAAAGACTGCTTGGACAACACCCCATACTCCGCAGCACCAAATATCGAAGGACAACTTTCCCACCCGTTGGCTGATCACGACGAAATTGGATCTTATCCGAATCTTGATATTTCCTGACTTAGGTTTCAGGCCGATTTTCTTGACTTTGCCAGATATGCAAGATAAGACTATTCTAGTCTCCCTTGCCCACTTTCAGTCCTGCTACACAAAAATCGTTTACAAGCATCCCTGGCAACTTACGTCTACACTACTGTTGGGGGTCAACCTTCTTTTAGGGTCTTCAGAACGAGCGAGACTCTAAAGCCGCCCATATTGCACACCCGTCTTTCATCCGCGTTCTCAGACCGGTGGTGTTTTGACTTTCCAGTTTACCCAGGACAGCAGCTGCAATGTCAGTGACTGGCAGCCTTGACCCTTGCCTCGGCGTCGGTGCTACCTGGATGCGATCAAAGCATTTTGTTTCGCTTTTGGACACACCCCCAGCAGTGTGCAGTCGAGCACTGCGTTTGCGCAATGCTGCTGCAGTTTGTGCTAGTACTGGAAATAGGTAGGACCTTGGCAAAGGGATTTCTTCTGTCGTCGATCTAACCTAAAATACAGATGGCAGGGCAACACAGTTTCAGGACTCGACACAAATTTAAGTAACAATGCAGACGAATCGGAAATCCACAATGAAGATGTAGCTAAATTAATAGTCGCTCATCTCATTCGAATGTACAAATGAATAGTAACATGAGGGTTTGTGCTCAGCCCCGATTTTCTAATGAGAATTTAAGTCGAAAGCAAACAGATTTTGTGGAATAATCGCGCAACGCCCATTCTACAGTGAAATAGTAACTTTAATGTTCTAATTTTGTTGTCGTGAGTGCAGAATCTCAATTATTCGCCTAAAGAATTCGCAAAATTGTTAGCTTCCCAATTTCCTGAAATTCATACTACCGAAAAGCGCATAAAGAACACTGGGGATCCACTGAGGAGCCAAACCCCTTGATTTCGTTGCATGGACCTGTACCAAGTCTCTATGAAGGCATCACGGATCTCTTAGGCCTAAAAGTGCAACAAAGGCCACATTGAGAATGAGCTATTGCAACCTGACTCTAGGTTTTAAGAAGGATAGATTTACCCTATCATTTGGCAGATTTCTCAGTCGTTACTCTTAGTGCATCATGATAGATTCGGGCGCGTTAGTCTTGTTATACTGAGGAATGAAATGAAGTGCTGTGGGGGTGGAATCTGTCTTGATGTCGACCTCACTTTCGTCTCCCTACCCCATGCACCAATTGCCTGTCCGAGATTGTCATTAAACTGGTTATGAAAGTGGACACAATGACTGGTGCGGCGTGAGATCCTGCAACTATGCGTAACAATACCCTTTTCCTGTACGGCAGTATTCATAGCCTAGCGCAGACTTTGCGCGAACCGATTGACGCGCGCAGTGGGCCCATCTGAGTTTGCTTTGGTCAAGCTCACTTGCAGCACAGCCTCTTTCGGCCCCAAACACTGATACATGCCCTTAAGTTAAAATCTTTCCAAATTCCATAGCACCACCAAAATTGTCCGATCCGTGTCTTCAGGTGTTCCGTCCTCCGACAAAGTCAAAATTACTTGTGGTCGCATTTATTAAGCTCCTACAGACCACCACCACAACAACGACAATTTACTGCATGACATGGATCTTCTCTTACGATGGTAGGTTGCAATGTTGCCGAAACCGTTTTACGCAGTAAGTTAACCTAAATATTTGTCTGATGATAGTCTGAAGTAGTCTTACGTACTCGCGACTTGTATAATGGGACCTCAGGCGTTGACTGTCGAAAGAAAGGAGCACTTGGTTGTTCCAGTGCTTCGTACAGTCTGGATGGTACGCGCTCTTGGTCTTAGGTTCGTCGTCCGGTCGACAAGAGTCTAGGTTTGGTAGTCCTTGTAGCAGAATGGCATTCCTCATGGGTTCACTTTGGATGATGACACGTATGCAAAAGAATAGTGTAACCGGGATCTAACGGTAAAAAGTTATCTATCAAGATTAATGTGGACAGTTGATCCTTTCTCCGTTCCAACCCACGCTGATGACAATTATGCCAATGTTAAAAGCTGAGTAAAACAAATTAGGATATTTCCCTAAAAGACTGCTTCTGTGCTGCGAAGTAAACTGCTCAAACGAGGAAACCAAGAATTAATTGGCAATATACGCAAATAGGTGCCGCCTTGCTAGTATTATAGGCAGACTTGAGCTAAATTCCAGGGGGTAAGGGTCGCAGTTTCAGTTAGGATCGGAATAAAAGTTGGTATTAAGACACAGATATAGGCTTCCCCATGGAATTCCACACAAAACCACTCCTAATACGCGAGATATCCAACTCCAAGTTCAGTCCATTAATTTATCTGGCATTTCAGGTTCCCACAGAAGTCCACCATTAAAGATAAAAGCCACGACACATGCATACTACAAATCTTTTGTTTCTATTATCCTGATCTGCGACTGGTTCTGATGATACATTCGAGTGAGAATCTGAAACGCCCGGCCGATAAACCTATGATTCGAGTGGTCGCACCACCTTCTTTTGAACTACGTCCTGAAACTCGCCTCATTGCACCTATCGTTACTTAGTGGTTTGTGTACAGCTCCGAATTTTTCGTACTTACCTGCGAACAGCCGGCGCAACAGAACTCGCGATAGATAATTTCTAGGCACTTCTCTAAAATTCTCAGAACGTAGTCATTCCGTGGAGGCTTGATCCAGTACAGCAGCGTGAACCCGTTAATCATAGGGGTCGAATGTGGATCTCCAGTGCCCCCGATTCGTTTTCAAAATCCTTTGAAAACAGCTGCGATAGACCTAAGTAGACTCCGTTTTTCTTCACTCGTGCAACATTTAATACTCCGCGCCTTTTAAGTGTTTCGGCAGCACGACGATTTGGAAACCCATCCGAATGGTGTTGAGGAGGATGCCGCGTCGAATCTACACTATAGTCCAAGCTAGTTTGGTTGACGTTAGAGATCGAAACTTAGATTTGGTCGCCACCTGCAATTCTTGGAAATTCCGCATTAGGGACGCATTGAGGATAAAACTCCGCCTATTCACCGTTGATGATAAAATAGCGTGCGCGTCTGCATCTCTCTGAAACTGCATAATAAATTGCTCATTTGGCGTGTTTGAATCGTTGCTTTGATGTAAATTGTTTAAGAGTCATAAGTGAGATTTCTTCCAAACCATTTAGGTATTAGTTACTTTTCATGACAATGAATTCGTGATCTGTCTGGGGAATTTGGACAGCCAATGAAAGTAGCTAATCACTCCAACGTAGTCAGTACGTGCTTATGAGTGTAAGAGCCGAGCTTGTAACCATGAAACCTTGCTAAATCATGAGACAATACAAGCGCTACATGATTTTCTTAAGTTTTACGATCCAAATTCGGATGGTGGCCTCGGCTCGATGAGCAATTCAAACCAAGGGCTTCAAATCGACGCATTACTTTACATTTGAAACCCTCCTGTTTACTGTACAACATGCCTTACCTTCCGTAAATTTTTAATACGCGGGGATGCAGGCAAAAAACCAACGGAAGACTTCTTTCGAGTGTTCATTCTGCGTGAAAATGATCGACTAGATAGCGTCCGCGTCCATTTGGAGGTCCCCTCAGCATAGCTGCAATTGCTCGCTTCAGGATGTCTAATGTGAAACTAAATTCGTAATTCTTGAAACTGTTGTTAAAAGCTCGACTTTGGGTCTACGCTAGTGAGCAAATCAAGAATGGCCAGCTGCTCCTCCATTTTTTTGCTCTCCAAAACGATATCTCTGAAGAGATTTTGTTCAGGGGGCTATAATAATGTAGCGATTCATAATTTCTGACATTATTAAGCTTGTCCCGGACAACTGCTCTTATAACTCCAAATTTATCTATCCTTACGTCTTATTCGACCTTTTTTTAATTTTTTTTACGAAACTCCCAAGCTCCGCGTAATATTAAATACCTTCTACATGATTATCGGTCTCTCAGTAAAGCCACGATAATATTACCCACATTAGGCAGCCATAATTAACACCAGGCTTTGCAGTCCCTGAGACTTGATCCCCCAACCTGTTAGTTGAGAGTACAACAGCCCTAACTACTGAGCCACGGGCCTGCTGGCCTGTCGGTTGATATCGGGTATACACAATGGTAGAGGGGCGTCCAGCGACCGCGTTTCGAGACATACTTGTCCTGCTTTGTTTCTTGGGGTTCAGTCTCGAGTCTCCCCCCTCCCGCCATCAGCCGCATAACGGCCAGCAGTGTGGACACAATAACAGACTCAAAACACTGGTAGTACGATTGATTTCCTCTTGCGCGAGAACTTTTGCTTGTGACGTACTGTCCGTGCAGTAACTGACAAAACATCGTGAACAGCACATAAAGGTGGTAACCAAATAGCATTCAGCTTTCTTTACTTTTTCCAGACATACTATCTTTCCAATTCGCAATCTGTTATGGAGATCATAAGCAACTGCTTTCGATGGTATTTTATTCAAAGTTGGCCCACTAGAATCGCTCGTAAACTGCAGGGTTCTTCGTACTGTGCAATCAAGACCTGGTTTTTTCGCGAGGGAATGCCAACATTTAACGAAAGAAATATGCATCTGCCTTATAAATGCAGGATAATTTGCTTATGCGTTGAATCTTGGAGGAAAATTCACCATTCGTAAGAAGATTACATATTTTATGGCGTTATTGTTCTGCAGTTTTTACATCCTTGATCTCGAGCTTTTGCTTTTTCGACGCAAATGTAAAACCAGTCAACTGAACTACCGAAATCGTGCCTGGTAACTGGGGGCCCTTGATCTGACGCAGATCAAAGCACGCCGGCCTTTGATGCAGGCGCCAAGTCATTCAACGAACCCACAACTACTGTTCTTGGTCTTTAAACACAGTGATTTTGATGGTGGGAAAGATCGGACTTGTCAGAGTCCTCAGATGACAACATTTGCAAATTAAAAATAGACCTCGAGAGGATCTGAAGTGTCCCTTGCAGAAACACACCTAACAGCTGGCCAACACTACCGCTGTTTGCATCATTTCAACACTAACGATTAACTTTTGACGGAAGCATGTCCTGAGTTTTTTTCAGTAAGACTTTGTTGACTCAATTCCCCATGGCTATGCCTTATAGCTCTAAATTATATTAGGTTTAAATACCGAAATCTGGCCCGAAACTTTTTCATCGCCTGCTTTATATGCTCGTAAACAAAAAATAATTCCATTAAATTATGGTTTCTTGAAAGAGTAGCAAAACCATACGGAATGTTTTGAAGAACTATAAGCATTCAAAAACGCCTCTGACTAGCAACATTCCGAGCCCCCTTCGCGTTACTGATGGAGATTTAACTTGGGAGGATAGCAAAACAGCTCTTTTTCTGCAACCGCTTTATTGATGAGTCGAAGAGTTGACGTCTTATGTCTAGCTTAGGGGTAAAATCCTATCGTCCGAATTTTCGTGACAGCTGAAAACCCAGCGTCTTCACCCAAAATAGTCAACCTGAATGAAGTTGACAATTTCACAATTAAAAACGAGTTCACCATGTTTGAAAGGTCAATAAACTGCACGGCATCAAAAGTAAACTTAAATTTGCAACCTGAGTGCGCGTTTCGAATAGCTTTTTATTCCTTTGACTCGTGGGATTTTAAAAAATGGACAGAAATTATCTTCAATAGAACGTCCTAATGTGCCTTCAACATTGTGTCTAGAGAGTTTATCTGAAAATTATTCTCTGTCCACGACAGGTATGGCTGCCGTGATTTCCAAAATATGGACTGACAGACACTGAGCAACGGCTATCCAGAAAAGCTACTATGATCTCACAATATGTACCTTTTCCTGAGCTTATTTGATAAGCCAACTATTACGTCACTTCTTCTTGCCCTCAGACTGTTTGCTCTTATGAAGCAGAGTTTTTTTGCTTTTAAAGCTATGCTACGTTGTATCCAGTGCTTTCTTCTCCGAACCGGCGTATGCGAGACCGGGTGTTTCCTATCGTCAACATGAGTAGCCTGTGTTTGTTCTCCCTGGACACAAGTCAGAGGTGGATGTCCGCCCTAAGACATTTTGATGGTCATGTCCAACTGTAACAAATTAGACTGCCGGTGTGTGTTTCATTCACCACTCCGCCGCCTTAATGTTACTTAAAACGTCTGGAAATATTTAGGGAACAAGGAGGGCTAAATTTAAGCCCAATTCAGTTATTTTGTTTTCTTTACTTTTACCAGCTTTAAGATGCATTAAAAATGACCCACTCTTCTCGCAACTTGTGTAGCCCATGAAGTGATTTTGTCCTAAATATGCTGCAACTGAGAGCCTGGCGTTAATTCATTGTCAGAGGGCTGTAAATAACAGCATAACAGAGGAAACAGATACTAGAATGTACACAGGAAAAGCCTACGCAAAAAAGTTAGGCTCCTCCGTGGCATTGTTTATCTGTCAAAAACCCAGCTCATTTAAAGGAACTATTCGTAAACATGGGAAGTCTGCTGGAACAATATAAAACAAAGTCCTACGGATAAGTACTTTGATTACTTGCTTGCAATAATCAGATTGCAATACAGACAAAACAATAAATTACACACGGGTGGAAACTACCTTAAGAATCAGTTATGCACGTTATTGCATGTATTCTTCATTGGATTTTGTTTAAGCGTCGCTGAATTAAAGATTACCGGCATTCCAGAAGGCGCATTTAAATATAGTTACTCAGATTGAGAGGCCATTTCTGCATATAACAGAATTGAGACCCTATTCAGCACAAAAGGTAAACTATGGGAATAAATATGCTAAGGAAAGAGGGTAATAACTGCATCCTTTTTCTAATTTTCTGTTGATTAACAATGGAAAGAAACAGTCTGTTCATATTAAGGTCGCCTAGAAAAATACCTGATAAGGAGGAGGAGGGGTAGGAGGAGGACGAGGAGGAGGAGGAGGACGACGACGACGACGAAGAGGAGGAGGAGGGGAGGGGGAGGAGTAGGAGGAGAAGAAGAAGAAGAAGAAGAAGAAGAAGAAGAAGAAGAAAAAGAAAAAGAAGAAGAGGAAGAAGGAGGAGGAGGAGGAGGAGGAGGAAGAGGAGGAGGAGGAAGATGACGCGGAGTACGATAAGAAGGAGGATGGGAACGAGGAAGGGAACCAACTGATCGACATCTGTAAGAGTTGAGCACCTCTAACATTTGAGTAGACTTTCCACAGCGTCAGTACAGGCGAACCCACAATACACACGGACGACCCCTGAAAGTTTCAAGCACGCAGAAGTTGATGCATCTCATGAAACATTGGTTAAAATCCCGAAAAAGGATGTCTGTTGGAAAGGATTGCATAGACCATGTTATAATCTTGATTATTCTTCAGCATATGTACTTCCAAGATATTTTAGTCAAGTCAGGATGGTAGTTTTTGGTTTCACATCTTTGAAGTTGCCTGATAGAAATCAAATCTGCTAAAAATGGCAACTTTGGTCGCATGATTTTTTTCATTACTGTTGATGTCCTCGCAAATCCTAGCCTACTTATAGAAAGCATTGTCGAAAATAACCTTTCTTATGCTAATTTTGTGACTCCCCAGCCGCCCAGATTGCACGCTCCCTTTCCATCCGCGTCCTCAGGCCGACGATGCCTTGATTTCCAGTTTACCCAGGACAGCAGTTGCGACGCCAGTGACTGGTAGCCTTGACCCTTGACTCGGCGTCGGTGCTACCTGGATGCGATCAAAGCATTTTGTTTCGCTTTTGGACACACCCCCAGCAGTGTGCTGTCGAGCACTGCGTTTGCGCAATGCTGCTGCAGTTTATGGTTGTATTGGGAACAGAAATTTATTTTGTCGTTGACCCACCAAATATGCAAATAATCTTTTGAAATAGTTGTATGATTTCCTACATTTTGTGTGTGTGTCATATCAGACGAAATGGACCTTTTTAATTCAGATTATACTCCAGAATTTCTCTTAACTGATCCTTCATCTCAGTAATTATTCTTGATGTCTGTCAACTAGTGACTTACCCAGTCCAACTTCTCCTCGATTGTTGGCCTTTAACCAGCCAGCAAGCCTTAGATGGAACATCTCAGACATTTGTTAACTTAACATGATATGTTTGTTCTTAGTCGGGTTTGAAATGCTACTTTTTAACTGCGATGATGTAGGATGGATTAGCGTTTCATCCCACATCCATTTATTCTCATCTGTGACAATGTTACAGTGACTTTGAAGACGGTAAAATTGTTACTAGTCGTGTGTTTCTTCAAACTCTAAGGCTTCCCCGGAAAGAACCTTATTCAGGGTCGGCGCTAGTGACTTACATTTTACTTCTCTTCCCTCAAATTATAACAATTGGATGTATATATGCTTAAGTCTGAGAGTGTTTATAGTCTCCTAGTTACAGCTGGACTGTGTTAGAGTGTTTTAACTAATGTCGCTATTTGCATGGTTTACGTGTACCTATTTTTGCTAATAGGTTAGGCGGGTAACTTGACCCAAAATGTGATACAACTCGAGTCGTCCGGCGGGGCCTCGTAGCTCAGGTGGTCAGAGCGTTGGCTGTACTGAAGCCTGCCTCTTACTGCGTGGGTTCGAATCCCACCGAGGCGCCGAGTTTTCACAGTTGGGTCAATATGAATTATTCAAAATCTGCCAAAATACCTATGAGTTTTCCCTAAGATTGCGGACTTTATTGACGACTATTTTGGTTCATGTTTGGAATGAGTTCGTTTTTAAGCAAAAGTAATTTATAGGTAGTCGTTGAAGAACAAAAGCCTTATTCTTGATCCGCATTTGCAATCCGGAGAAATGCAGTGTGCTATCCAGACATAACTTTCCAACCTCTCTTCTTTTTCTATTTGCCATCTTTCGCGATGCAGTTGTAAGCAGGACTGTGAAAGGAATCTGTTTTCTGTTGTTCAGCCTTGTCCTTACTTGTTGATATATATGGTCTTTATTGTAAGACACATTTAATATGCAAGCTGCTGAAAATTAGTCAACGCAAGGCCGACTAAAGAGGGGCATGGATTTACCCAATTTTTAGGGTGAGTTTCGAGGAACGGTTTCATATATCTTATCCTATCTTTGTTTCCACTGCCGAACTCTGGTCCTTTAAGATTACTTAACTGTAATTTCTGCCCGAATTGGCGATCGCAACATTTCCAGATCTCGCTTAAGAAGATCTACTCTGGAATCCGTGTAACACAGCGATTAAGGGAATTTTAAAGAAGTTTTTCCGGTATGAATCGGAAACAGGCATATACAGCAGAATTGTTTGGCACCAGCAAATTTCCCGACAACTTATCGATTGCAACCCGTCGCTGCATAAAACGAATAATGAATAAAAAGCATATATTAGTTCGAATTTGCGCAGAATTATGAAAACCAATCAGCAAGGTCATTGTTAAGTGCACACAAACATAGACAATGAAAATGGTGACTTGCAAACGCAATTTAAGAAAGACAAGATTAAAAACTTGGCGCACAGAAGGGAGTGTGTAAACCCAAGGATCGAGATTTACCAGGCCAGATTGTGACTGACCAGGCTGTCTGGCTAATTCTGTAGGTCGGATTTCTCCCGCCTTGTGTAGGCTACTTCCAAGTAGCGCAATGTCCTAACTGTTCGTGTCCGAACTCGCAGACGGAGATCTCGACGCTCAACACCGTTATGCAACGTACATTTTTCCGTCCCACAAGTGGCCTCTCATTCCTTATTTGCTATCCCTAATAATCCAAATTACTTATGATTGGGTCTATGATCGTCGCCTCTCTGAGGCACCTACGACAGGCCAACTTTTACCCGAAAAGCGCCAACGACCCCATTCAGATTGACTTCCTCGCAACCCTACTAGATGAATTCTACCTTGTTTTCTGGAGAATATTGACAAGAAGTACAGGATGTTGTTGGTCTGAAATGCCACGTTTGTTAGATATTTCTCAGGCTCTACGGCATTTCGGACTGGGAATTGTTTATTCTTTATAAGCCTATGAGACACTATCTGTGCCTCTAAAGCGTCAAATGGTCTCTAAACAACCTGACTGGCATATTCACGCAAGGTGTTTACTATTTTCGTTGTACCGTTATAAATGGACCCGCTGTTCATCCGAATATATCTAAATGGTCCTAATGGAAGTATCGTGCTTTGAAAGCAAGAGAAAATAGTTCAGGTATGCCAATGCTCGAAATCTATGCCCAGGCTTTGTAGGGTACTTCCATTAAATGAGTTGGCAAGTCACAAGCGGCAAATTTAAGACATATTAAGCTTTTACCCAAGTAACTTTCTTCATTTTTACAAAATGGTTGATGCTTCTACTATACTGAGACCGAGAACATATTTTTTCCATTACTGAACTGGATTGCTAGGATTATGACCGGCTGAATTTGCTGAAACGTCCATTACAAGTATACGATAGAAAGAATTTATCATAATCATTGGGGTCTAATGTAGATCACGGTACATGCCTGTCATTTTAGCAAGTATAACTGCATGCACTCCTATTTGAATGCATCCAAGCGGCTCTTACACCAATTTGGGACAATGACCTACGTTCAAGCTTTGTCCTGACAGGTTTAAGAAGACGATGAATTTCATATTTTGCGGTCGAGTATGGCGCAATCTTTGAAACTTTTACTCAGCAAACGTTTTCATCAAGGATATAAAAGGCTGCTTTGTTGGGTTTCGAGCATGAAAATTTATTTGATATAACCGATGGTTTCCAGCGGCTGTTTTCTTTCAGACTAATTAAATTTTATGTGATGAAACAAGGCTGCACAAGAGAGATAGATGCTTCTGAGTAGATATTTCACAACAAGGGAAATCCTGTAGCCTCATAAGCATGCACACCAATGACTGCACTAGACAGTCCGAGACCTCCTTTATCAATTCAGTACGAAGCGGACTTAAAATATAATAATTCCATCACAGCGTTATGCCATAAATGCATTTATAATTGGTGCGGATTTAGATAAAAGGGCGTTATTCGTTTTGACAAGTCAGTTTGAATGCAAATTAATAATAGAACCCCGCTGCGTGTTCATATTCGAAACATATATGAAGATTGATAATTTTGATATTTTTTACGGTTTATTATTCCTGGCTTACTGACTACACGTCCGAGTAATTATTTCCGATACGGATATTTGGTATTCACTGGTGATTACAGCACAGTCATAAAGTTTCTTCTGCAGAACACGACTTGCAAAATACCCGAGATAGTATTTATGATTAAGTGATACTTTTAACTTATCAAGTGAAAGATCTACCGGCATGGACTTGCAGCACTACTACCAGCAAAGTGAATTCCACCATACCACATACACGGTATCGTGTTGCTTTGTGACCGACTATCCTTCTGACCTTTAGCGTAGGTTATACTTGGGAAGTGATATCCTTGTGCACGTAGTGTATAGTTATTTCATTAAGCTTAATCCCTCGTAAAAAGCAAGTCGAATTCCGTGGGAAGAATATATAAACATTTATTTTTTGTGGTAGAGGAGCGCTCACCGATCGTTCTTACGGAACTCACTCATTCCATTGTGTCTTACGCGCTCTATCTCGAGCTCAACTACCAGCGGCACAGCGGACCTATGTACCTCAGTGTTGATTCACATGATGGGAACTATTTTTTACATTTTAAAAAGATGACTAATCACAGTAATTTTTTGTCCGTATCCTACGATTTCACTTGTGCTAAATCCAGCAGACCACGGACTACGTGTATTCTCCGAGGTCGAATCACGTGTCTCTCGTTACGCATTCATAAAGCAGTAGTAATAGTTGTCTAAATGGTAGTTTATGAGCTATGTCACATGAACTTCTCGAAAACTCAAAGTTATTTGAACTTAAGTAAAACAGAATTACACACTCCTTTCAATAACAAATGTAAAAAATGCTGATTTCTCCTGAAAAACTGAAGTCCTGATTCTATTTAATTTCTTATTTCCGATCAAAACCAGTCGAGCAAATATCCCTTGGCTTGACGAATAAGCATTGAGCTTTTAGGTTCGGTTTCGAACCCCAAACCATTTTTCCTTGTTTTCATTGTTTTTTTCAGATTACTGGATGTTTCTTGCCTGTGAAACCTCCTAACTGAGCTCCAAGGCATAAAATAACAAACAGCCGACGAGCCTCCCAACAATACGGTAATGTGTGAGGCTAACTGACCGCAATAAGAGGAATTTAAAAAAGCGAAATATATTTCCGACCATAGGAACCCAGGGGAAATGCTGTTCGGGCGTAATTAAAAGCCTCATTGGGTAAGGGAAGATAGAGCTGACTTATGTCGCCTCCGAAACAGAACACGAAAGCAGGAGGCACCTAAAATACGGGTAGCTTTGAGCCAACTTCCAGTAAAACCAGGGTTAACTTTGATGTAAGGTTTCGGACTAAGTTAAGGATTAGGTCTAAGGCAAGATCTAACGTTAACAATGAGGCAAGTCAGAATCAAATCTAGAGTTAGGACAAGGGGATAGTGTTAAATGCAGAGTTAGGGTTTAACTTATGGTTGGGGTCAAGGTTAGGGTATCGATTTAGTGTTTTATTGGGGCTGTTGTTGCGGTTAGGTCACTGGAGTATTTTGCCCTTTCCGGACTTGTGCGCAGGTTCACCTTTATTGCTTGGGCAGGGCGTACCTATTCCCATGTCCTGTATAGAGAGCTACATACAGTGCGTGACCTATCTCATGAAATGTTGGCTGAATTTCTGAAATGCGTTTTCGATTAGGAAGAAATACTTGGTCGCGGTTGTGATACTGATTATCTTAAGGCATACTCTTATAACATTTCGGACTCGGCAGGATGTCGGCTTTTAAATTAACTTCTTTTCAACCTCCTGTAGAAAGCGTGCTCGGTAAAAAATGACTACTTATGTAGCATGCATTTTTCCAATTGATTTTCGATGGTCTTGCAAATTCAAATATATTTTTAGAAACCATAAACAAAAGTATACTTTCTTTTACTCAATCAATAGAGAATCACGTCTTCTTTATATTTTATACTTAAGGAAGGAGTATAATTAGGTTTTAAAAAAGTTTCTAATTATGAGACTTTTTAAGACCGCGATATGTCCATTCACACAGCATCGTACCTGGCCGTTTACCACTGCTCCTCATGAAATGTACAACATGGTCCGCATCCATAGCAAAATTAAATGAACCCTGTATGACATCTCTTTAAGGACATAGAAAAATTGGAGTTTTTCTTTACGCGGAACGCATGCACATTGTAGAGTGTAATCACTAAGCGCTAATGCAGCGAATGATCAGGCTCCAAATTTTTCGGCAATGAGAAAACTTTTTAAAACCTAATTATACTCCTTCCTTAAGTATAAAATATAAAGAAGACGTGATTCTCTATTGATTGAGTAAAAGAAAGTATACTTTTGTTTATGGTTTCTAAAAATATATTTGAATTTGCAAGACCATCGAAAATCAATTGGAAAAATGCATGCTACATAAGTAGTCATTTTTTACCGAGCACGCTTTCTACAGGAGGTTGAAAAGAAGTTAATTTAAAAGCCGACATCCTGCCGAGTCCGAAATGTTATAAGAGTATGCCTTAAGATAATCAGTATCACAACCGCGACCAAGTATTTCTTCCTAATCGAAAACGCATTTCAGAAATTCAGCCAACATTTCATGAGATAGGTCACGCACTGTAAGTCAGTCCCGTCTCAGAAAATTCTGCTGCTCCTATAAAATCCCATATTAAAATGGATTAATTGATTTACCTTTGGCGTTTTCGTTGATCCTCGTAGACGTTGAGTAAATTCCAGTAAGTTCTTTTACATAACTGGCAGAGTAATAGTTACAAGGCAGGCAGGCTTTACAGATAAATATTTGATCTTTTCCAGAAAGGATGAGCACTTATGCGGACAGACTGAAGCAATCAGTTGCAAACTGCTTTCGGGGCAGTTGAAGTACAGTATCCAAGTATTATCAATCTGAAGGCCAAATTGCATTCTGCTTTAGAGGATAAAGTATCCTCCGCTCGCACCGTCTGCATCAAAGTTGTACGCCCTCCCGTATGTGCCTACTTCTCATACGAAACTCCTGACTGCTGATATTTACGGGGTTTCCGCTCTATAACCCAGGACATTAAATCCCATTATTTACATTGTAATTATGCCGTTTGATTCTTAGTAGATTACTTTCGAATGACATGCATCGCCCATCCTCTATCGTGGGACATAAAATGGCCCCAATTACGACACACCGGTCGCGATTTCGTGTCTCACTGGTAGGGATATTAACTTAATGTCCGGTCACCAAAAGGTTTGGGTGCGTACCAAACTTCCTTACTCATCTCTGCTCATTTAACTCCACGCAGGTTGTAAGTAGTCCATTAAAAGTGTAACAGGCCAGGTGCAGGCGGCCACTTCACTGTTGCTGCCGATCATCAGTACGCCATAGGCCATATAGAGTGAGGTATACAAACATGTCAAGTACACGTGCGAACTCCGCTATTTTGGTTAGGATCTCATTCGATCTCCTTCTCTTCACCCACCGACTTGTTGCTGGCGACAATAACCCTTGTGCCATGGGGCACATATCACACAGAATACGTGTGTAGCTCACTGAGAGTGCAGCGGGTCAGGCGGATTTACGGCAGTCACCGATCGTCAGTATGTCATGGGCCTGTTGCGCTCTCAGTGCAGCGTATTATGTGGGGTATGTATCATATGACGCAGTGTTTGTTGGCGCCACTAGCAAGCCGGCGAGGGGACAGAATGGGATCAAGGGAGAGCCTAACCACAACAATGAGGGTTGTGCACATATAATTGTTTCTTCGCTCCCAAACAAAATCCTTCGAAATGGGACTTAACATCGCAGCCGCCAAGATAGCCATCCAAGCCTGAAACAAGAAAATCCAAGAATTGATTAAAGACTGGGCTTCGGATGAAAACTAATTCAACCGCTGCATTGGTCTTTCGTCGGCAAACGGAGCACCGTCCAATCACCTCCAGACTTGCAGCACTGACTGCTGATTGGTTTCTATCCCCCGCAACCATCACTTGTCATGTTGTTGGTACTATTTCTGACGCTGGACTCCTGCGCGAGTTTGAAGTCTGAAAAACGTAAACAAACTGTTTTGGTGCCCGAGAAGTTCCCTTCTATCTTAATTTTGCATGCACTCAGAACCCGAGCACTCGGTTCCATCAGCACTACCGTTTAATTAAAATGGCACAAGACCTACCCTAAAGGCTCTCTTTTGTTTTCAGATTGTATCCCATTTGTCACGCCGCTGTCCCAAAAGTCTCAGGCAAATTCGACTAGATGACATAATTTGTGGTTACGCAACAATGTGCGAAGCTCTAATTAAATCCTGTCGATCCCCTAGTTGCTAAAAAATTATTGTGACGACTGGTGGACAGTTAAAGTAGATGTTATTCAGTATCGTCTCAGTGAGTACCCACTAAACATTTGTGCCAAGAACTCTCGCACAAAACGTACCGAGGCAAATCATATATATGAGATGGGCAGGTTAATATGTCCGTCTAGTTGACATTTCGATTCTAATTAGGCTACAAACAATGACAACTGGCTGAAGTACGCCAGTCTGCAACTCCGATCTCTTTGTGACCAGAAACCCGAACCAAAAGTACACTGCCGAATTAAACGCCAAGGCCCCCTGCTAATGGATTTTTTAGAGGTGAATGGGAAACGCCACAGTGAGTATGACCATTAAGTTGGGATAATGAGGGTAATTGGTGTGCAAGGTTCACGAGCCACATACCTGCAGCCCCCTCTCCCCTGCCCCACCCCCCCCCCCCAATCACACGCATAGACACACACATACACACACAAACGCTAACACGCACACACGCACACACACATCCAGTCTTGCACGCTGCTGGCTCGGGCGCGCATGCACCCGAGCAAATTTCCTCCAAATGGTTTCCTGCGAATAGCCTTGAGAACTGGCCGTGATTGGTCCTAGGTGATGTCAGTCCTAACCTTGGCATTCAGTGCAATTAAAACGATGTGTGTATAAAATTGAACCTCACTTGCCGGGATGGGGTTAGCCTCGTTGACGGACAAACGGGACGCAGGGATAGACGAGGACGAGGAAACTTCTGGTACCGCAACGCCAAAAAATCATGCACAGACAGAACAATAAACAGAAGATGTCCGTTGGCAGGATAGTAGGCGTAGGAGGACGCGCAACTGCGACTTGCAAGCGCTTTCCCTCACATACACCCGACGACACCCTGTCCCCCTCCTGTCCGGCCGCTTCAGTCCTTCACTCGAACTATTCCCTTTTGCTGCAGCTGTTCCTGCTGGGCTCCCTGGTGGTCAGCGCAGGTGCCTCACCCCTGGCCGTCAGCAATGCCAACGATGTGACCACCTTTTCACTCCGCAATGCCTATGACAATAACCCGTTGGCAAGACCCACTCGCCTTGAGTCGCCCGACAAATCCGACGCTCTGGCTCTTGATCCCCGACGGATAATGTGCGGCTACCAGTTGATCGTCAATTTAAAACTACAGTGCGGTTCGCGAGGCACGTACTCGCCCTACGACCACGGTGCCCGTATTCGTCGGAGTCTCCGCATGGGTGAGTTTCCTGGGATCCACCCCAATCCGGGGATGGAGAGAGGAGAGGATTTTAGAGAACAGTTTAATGACTGCAGACCCGAATCACTTCAGATATCAAGATTCCTAGATTTTAGCATTTTTGTATGTGATTTTACTCTACTTGAAAGTACTGCACTACCCCTACTTGTCGGTTTAACTGTAAGTGCTAATGCCATAGTGGTTAGAAGATATCTCATGAATTTAACAATTTCATCAATTGCAACCACAAATTTGGCCGAGAGAAGACGTAAAACTTGCGTAACCCATTCGATTTGCGAATCCGTGGTACGAGGCTTCACGTGACTCATACATACTTGGTCGTCTGTTGAAAACTTCTATTTTATTCCAACTTACTTATTCTTAGAGGATTTGCGATTCACTTGTGATCTCCTCTCAAAGCTGATGAGAACCCCGGATTTCCTTGCAAACTTTTACTTTTCCGCAACCTTTGACTTCATCGTCTACGCTAGTTGCTTTCCTGTTCCGTGGGAGAAACGCCGGTGAAAAAGATGGTTACGAACCCTTGGGGGATTGCCAGACAACTTCATGCTCGTTACGCCATTCTTACGTTTACCAGAGTTCACCTTTAGAGCAAACAACTTGCACACAATCTTCTATTAACTGCACAAAACTGGGCTTTATTTTCTCTCATGGATATATAGCGTCGTCCGAGACCTCCTACTCTGTTGTACATTGTCTTCCGCCACTAAATGCAAGACAGATCTGCCTCTTAGGTCCGCAGGCAGCATTATCGGCAGCCTCCCCCCCCCCCCGGACCGTCAGGTAGTTGGTGGCACGGTGCCAACATAGGCGCCGGAGCTCACAGAACTGGAATATCCATGGCTGAAGATGACTAATAAGTCACAAAAAGACCATCCTGGCGTTCCTTTCTTTGTCCCAAACACTTGTCAGGAAGAAATGCTGTTTTGCTTTCTGGCGCAACCCTGCTTAGACGTGAAAGTGGAATCGTGTCATAAAATGTGGTGAAGTTTCCCCATGAATATGCCGAGCCTAGCCGCATGATTCATATAACCAGCCAGAACTCGACAGCCTACCTTACATTTCAGTATTCGCGGTCACAAAGTACTTCGGAAGGCGACTAGATTGCCTAAAACCTACAGGACAGTCACAGTCGACACTAGCCCAGTGTCATCATGCACACAGCCTTGGGGGCCACACATTCGTCGTATCGCGTTTCCTACCGCAATCCTCACCTCAGGAATCGTTCTTTCACCGCCTTTCTCCTCAATGCATGCATTTAGATACCCAGATGTCGAGCTACTGCCTGCAGATCAGGAGGATTTTCCCCGAATGCGTTCCGCCAAGGGACCGTTTTTAAGTTTAACGAGTCGAACGTGGACTCCGGCTTAAGGACAGTCAGGATGCTGTCACCCACTGCTAAGGTCATGTTGCTGAAAGATGAGAAACACCTGCACTTAAGGGTCACATTTTATTAGACGTAAACTGATCCTTCAAATAGCTGCAATAAATCCGCTGAATGAATCTAAATTTATGCCCGCCTTTATTCGGACTTGCTGCCTAGTGGAACTTCCTGCTATTGCAAAGGCAACACTTTCGTCATCTGTGGGCTGTCGATTCTGTTGCAATTCCTGGCCTCGGAAAAGTAAAAACACCTCTCTTGAGGTGATATTGAAGTACTTCTCTTGTTTATCTCTCTCATTCTCGTGTCTGAATGCCTCTATGAAGTCTGGTTAGTACTTTTAGCTCTCTCTCTCGAGTCTTCTTCTGCGACGCTTTTTATTTGCGTGAAAGATGCACCCTAGTGGCCGTCCCTTCCTACCCACACTGCTGAGGGACTTGCCTCTGCAGTACTTGACAAAACGCCCGATAGACAGTCAGTACAAACAGGACACCAAGGATTACATGATGTCAACTTGTTAGCTGGCCTCGGGCTTAATAACTAAATGGAAAGAAGCAGATAGGGTTTTATGTTCCAAGTTGCTGATTTCAGTCAAGGGCTAATCGTGTTCCGTCTCCAATTTCTAGGCTATGAACAAGCGCCATTCCGGCCGAGAAATCCGGACGATATCTGCTCCCTTTACCTCCTCTACGAACCGCACAGTGTCATCACGGAATGCTGTTGCCGGGGCTGCACTCGACGTTATCTTGACCAATTTTGTGCCAAGAACTGAGCTCTCACGCCGCCTCCTTGGCATTCCTTCCCCTACCAGTCAGGAGTCTGCGAAGGATCAAACGTCACTTCTACAAGCCGGACCCTTACGGGACTCTACATTCCCTCTTGAAATGCCTTCGTCTTCCATCTTCAGTCTAGCCCCAGCCATCTTCGGTCCCTCTGTCACCTCAGTGAATCCCCTCCTCGACCTTCCGCAACTCCGACTCAACAATCAAAAAAAAGCGCACATATTTCTCATGACCGACTTTACTCCTATTTTGTATATTTTCCAGATTTTTCTCCCCAAGGACAGCAAAGAATGTAAGTCGGACTTGAGAAGAAAGACAACGGATAAAAGTGCATTCTTTGGCTGCCCATGTTTCATACATAAGAGCAAGAAAGGAAATTTCTGACTTTTAAGGCCTTCTCGGCCATGTGTACTCGACAATCCTCGACGAACGGACCTCTTTTTGGTCGATTCGTTGATTTGAACCTCCTCATCATTCTGAAATCTCCTTGTTGTCCCCCCCCCCTTTTTTTCTAACTCGAGCGCCCGATGAGAAACTCTTGATGAATAAAGATGACTTTGAGTTCCTAATACTCTGTCTGCTGTCTGGGTTGGGGAGAGTGGAAGGGCTTGTACTGGTAGCCACCGTTTGGCGCAAGTACTTATTTTGATATGGATGTACCTATAGTTAATTAATCTCAATTGCGTGTCCCCGGAAACACAGAAGGTAGAATTCATATGTTGAACTAAAACAAGGACCTGACTCGAACGGCCTGCTGGTTCCTGTTTAGCCCTCACGTGCCTAGAGAAAGCTTGAAAATTTTTATAAAACCGCCAACAAGTGTAGATTAAACGTGAGGATAAGAATCCTACCAGTACTACAGGGACATCTCATCCGTGTCCTTACTTTAATCCTGGCTTTAACCCTCATAACGCTAACCCTGACGTTCAGCCTAAACACTTAACCTAACCCCCTTGAATTTAGGAAGAATGTCACCAGTAATACAGGGGACCTGTACTCCTCTGCCCAACGCAAAACAATGGCCGGGAGATCAAAGCAGTGAGGAAAGCGCGTTTGTGGTACTAACTCGTAAAAAGGGCAGTTATTTTACACAAGGTTTCAAGATGTAGTGCAATTCAAGGTCAGATGTTTTAATCGTGCTCATTGGTCACTGCGCAGAGGCATCGGACACTCCGTGAAATAAAGATCGCTCTAGTAAAACAAACGACACCAAAAGTACCTAGGAATTAAGCGCGTGGATACAGCACTATTTAGTGGGTCTAGACATGAGTTATTGAAGTCTGAGCTTAGGTCTCTGGAATGCAATCGGATAAAATCGATGAAGTAAGGAGTCCGATTTATGACCAAGACAAGTCGATTACAAATTCTGGAGTGGAAAAAATCAAATTCTCACTTCCAGAATAAAGATGGTTCTGCGAAGTAAAACGTGGGTGTAATGAACCACCATGAACATCGGACGCATTTTCTTTTAATCAGCCCGTCGCACCTGTTGTTGTACTTCGGCAGTTACATACATGGAAGGATCATAAAGACAATAACAGCCGGAGTTCGCCAGACAGTGTTTGTTATTACAGTATCTGGCTTTTGAGTTAGGCTGAGTAAAGACACCCATAGGTATATATGTCGGTGCTTGCCTTCAATGTAGCCCAGAACACATCAGTTTCGATCGCGCTTCTTAACGTGCGTTCGAACGCGCTGCATCACGCAAACTCATCGGCGTTTCCAAACGCGTCAAACAAGACTTAGCGTTTGAAGCAGCTGTTAAATAGTTATAATAATAATAATTGTATTTAAGGGCAGTTTACAGGCATTACCAAGGAAATGTATGTCACGCTACCAGCCAAAAAAAAACGGGAAACAGAACCTTATGTCGAGCCGCTTTGAGACGGACATAAAAAAGTAGCGGGACGTTGACAGGAGGAGCCATTTACTCCCTCTCCAGTGGTCAGGTCAACAAAATCCACAATTAAGTCGAATACTGCCGGTTCCTCATAAATGCCGAAGCAGTAATTTTGCACTTCACGTATCTGTTTTGCGGTGTCCTTTGTCCACCCTGCTGTGTTACACACGGTGTACATTGTCGACGAGGACGGTCGAACTGTCATAGTTAAAAATAATAAAAGTAGAAGGAAATATACCGCTCATCTCTCCACAACCGAGCCAGATTGCAAATTTGCAGGTCCTAGAACTCAGCGGACAGATTGCAAACCTGAACTTTAGAAAAAAATGTGAAAAGTACATCTTCGCCTTAATGGCGTGCTCTATTTGCAATATACGCTCAGGAAGCTACAGTGCACGACCGATCTCATGAAATGTTGACCACAATTTTTAAATGCGATTCCGATTAGGAAGGATTACTTGTGTTTGTCGGTAATAACAAACTGCTTAAGTGGGGTTGTTATACTGATTATCATGCAACATAACTCTGGAACATTTTGGACTCGCCAGGATTTCGACTTCTAAATTCACTTCTTTTTGGCCTCCTGCAGAGATCACACTCGGTGAAAAATAACTACATATAAAGCATGCATATTTCCTATTGATTTTCGATAATCCTATAAATTAAAATATATTTTACAGAAAACATGCAAAAAATATGTTTTCTTTTGCTCAAAATGATCATTCAGTTATGCAAAATGCTGTAAATCAGAGAAAGTGTGAGCAGTATTTGCAGAATCTGCTTAACAAGAATTTAATACTCGTTCTGCATTAGGGCAGCAGTATTGGTCTTTCTGTTTATTTGAGCCACTGTAGTCAAGGGTATTTTCAAGGGAATGTTGGGAAATCGGATAATCCTCCGACACTGATAGGACGCATTCAGTTTGCTTTGCAGTTGAAGGACATAGAAGTACAGTGCGTGGTCGATCTCATGAAATGTTGGCCAAAATTGTGGAACGCGTTTCCGATTAGGAAGGATTACTTAAGTAGGGTTGTGATACTTTTTATGATGCAACATAACTCCATGACATTTCGAACTCGCCAGGATAATTACTTTAAAATGTACTTCTTTTTGACTTCCTGCAGAGAACACATTCGGTAAAAAATGACTATTTATGTAGCATGCATCTTTCCTATTGATTTTCGATAGTCTTATAAGTTCAAATGTATTTTACAGAAAAATGCACAAAAATATGCTGGCTTTTGCTCATTTTGTAGGAAATCACATGGTCTTCATATTTTCTGCCCGAAGAAAGTGCATATTTTAGTTTTAAAAAGTTCCCCAGTTTCCGATTAATTTTCAGCAATTTCAGTCTACAAGGTGCATGCCTTCCGCGTAAGGAAAATCATATATTTTTCTATGCCTTTAAGAAGATACCACATAGACTTCATGAAATTTTGCAATGGATCCGAACTGTGTTGTAAATTTCATGGGGAGCATTATTAAACAGACATGTTCGGTCTTGCGTGTATGGACATCGCACGGTCTTAAAAATCTCATAAATAAAAACCTTTTTAAAATCTAAATATGCACTTTCTTCGGGCAGAAAATATGAAGACAGTGTGATTTCCTACAAAATGAGCAAAAGCCAGCATATTTTTGTGCATTTTTCTGTAAAATACATTTGAACTTATAAGACTATCGAAAATCAATAGGAAAGATGCATGCTACATAAATAGTCATTTTTTACCGAATGTGTTCTCTGCAGGAAGTCAAAAAGAAGTACATTTTAAAGTAATTATCCTGGCGAGTTCGAAATGTCATGGAGTTATGTTGCATCATAAAAAGTATCACAACCCTACTTAAGTAATCCTTCCTAATCGGAAACGCGTTCCACAATTTTGGCCAACATTTCATGAGATCGACCACGCACTGTACTTCTATGTCCTTCAACTGCAAAGCAAACTGAATGCGTCCTATCAGTGTCGGAGGATTATCCGATTTCCCAACATTCCCTTGAAAATACCCTTGACTACAGTGGCTCAAATAAACAGAAAGACCAATACTGCTGCCCTAATACAGAACGAGTATTAAATTCTTGTTAAGCAGGTTCTGCAAATACTGCTCATACTTTCCCTGATTTACAGCATTTTGCATAACTGAATGATCATTTTGTTTTTTGTTTTTTTCCTCTCAGATGACCGTGGGGATAATCTGATGTTGCAGCGCACTAGAATGGAGCCCCACTGTCTCATGTCAGCCCTTTGACAGGCTGTGCGAAAGCTGCTTGAGACCCTCACCTATTCATTCATTTTGACCCAACTGTGAAAACCTAGACGACCTCGGTGGGATTCGACCCCATGACAACAGGGGGTAAGATTGAATGCAACCGACTCTCAAGCCACCTGAGCTACGAGGCCCCACTGCGAGCCGTGCGTTAAATCACTTTTAGGTCGAGTTTCACGTCCAACCTATTGTAAAGCCTGCCCAAGCAGGATTTCCTAAGTAATCAACCTAGAATCCGATAGATGCCTGAGACAGGAGTTCATGGGGGCCGACGTCGCGCCAGTCGCAGCACTACTTGCACCATCAGTAGGCGGGAGTCAAACCGGCCCTCGGCGAACGGAATAGGTAGAAGGAAGTGGAATCGATTCAACTCCGGTCCGGGGTTAAGCAAATGCTCTAACAGCTGTGACCTGGGATTTTGTTGAGCAGTGGAATAATGCAGGCCTACTCAGGGGATTGCATCCTGACTGCGGTGGCTCCTTCCTAGCATAGTCCTCGTAACATTCTGATTTGCGTAAGATCCTAAACGTCCTGGCTGGAAGGTAGCACAAACGGATATCGGGAACAGGTCATGCGGACTACACGTAGACGGACTGTTTAGATCTGCAAGCCACTGCGTCCACGTCCATTTGCGGCCATCTAAGCTTTGTCATACCATCGGAAAACGATGAGAGCAGAAAGAGAGGAAGAGCAAGACGGAGTCAGCTCAATTCCGCACCCCCATTAATGAAGTCAAACGCAAGCCAGGACTGTGCCCGTCTATTTTGGTAATGGTAGACCCATCGCTTGCGAGGGTCAGACCCTGGGACAGGACTGCGTATGTTTTTAGGCAGGTCGGGATCCCCTCAGTTGAAGAAGTTCGGCTTGCGTAATTATTTACCGTACGAACAACATAGGCATTAGCTAAAAGCCCAGACGCGTGTTCCACCGACCTTGCACAGCTGTCTGACGCAGCTGCCAGGGGTTCGGCTCATCAGTGGGTCCCCCAGCTTTCCCCGTGTGTTTTCTGGTATATGAACTTCGGTTTAAACTTGCCTTGTTTAATTTCCGAAGGAATTAATGAGCGAACTTGGAGTAAATCTTTCGGAACAGACCTTTTCAGGCACGGTCCGAATAAGTCGCTAACAGGCAAACAGTAGAATAGAATTGTGTAATTACTTGCCGAACTCCTCGCAGCTGCACCAGTCAGCGGCACAAGATCGGCGGAATATGTGTGTCTGGGCTCTTAGCTAATACCTGGGCTGCTAGTACGGTAAATAATTACACAATTCTATATTACAGACCGCATGTGGGTGGTTTGTGAATATTAC